AAATTGGAGTGAAAGCTTTTAAGCTAGATATCTCTGCATACAATCATTTGCATTGCCGATGCCTGTCTCTACGCCAATCGATAGCTCGCGAGGAGTAGATATCGATAGATGTTGAGATCATCAAAATCGTTACACCGCCGGGCCGAGAAAAATCGTTTTTTCGAAATGACAATACGATCGCAGAAGTCGCGCCCATTAAACTAGAATTACGCTTTTAGCTTTCTTTATTTATTTTTATTTCATTCTCCCAGTTTCTTTGTGTCTAAGCTTTTGCATATTGTGAAAGCCCAAATTCGTACGGAATGCCAAAAACTTTGTAGTTTTTCGACATTTTCAACGTTTTTGATGAAAATCATTACCGGAAATCGCAGCAAATTAAATAGTAAGCGAACCGAAGGAAAACCAAGTTGATCGCGAAAATTTGAGGTACCGAATATGCTCCCTGATCGATCGCATTTTTGCTGAATCGTCAATGAGTCAGCCGCGTGAGAGCGCGGGAAAAAAAGCGCATGACGGTTCCGCATGGCTTTTGTGCCCTCTTCAAAGGGCTGCAAATGACGATAATCGCTTGTTTTCGACGGTTGCTGTGCAACACGGAATGTACGTTATGAAATTGTAAAAGAACATTTAATCACCATGGTGAAATGCATGAAAAAAACATTGTAGCCAGGAATTTTCTGAAAAGGACTTCCAGCCAGGATCCGACAGACAAAAATCCCGACAGCCAGAATCCCGACAGCCAAAATTGCGTTTTTTTTTAAATCAAAATCACGTCATAATTTAAATCCCATTGCGTTTTCAGCAGCTATCGGGCATGCGGCGTTTTTGGCTGTCGGGATTTTAGCTGTCGGTATTCTAACCGCCGGCATTCGGCCGATCCAGATTATGGCTATCGGGATTTTGGCGTTTTTCCGCTTCAAAGCCAATGGCAATCATGACGAATTGGTTTGACACATCGATTCCTGCGAGTTTATTCATAAAAACCCGAATATTCCATAAAATCTGGCACTCATTAAGCATTGAAATGTTTTCTAATAGGTCCAATTGTACTCGTTGAAACCATCCAGGGCCACGGTCCATGCGTAGTTGCATTGAATTCCATTAACGCAGTGGCGTTTCCGGCGAAGTAGTTCTCTTCCCCGGATGAACTGGTGCTTTTGCCATTTAGGCATAACCAGATGATGATGCCGATAATCGCAAGGTTGACCGGAATCCCGGCTGCCATTAATATCCAGCCTTTTACGGACTTTCGGTCTTTGCGGAGCTCTCGAATGCCGAAAAACCAGCAGGAGAATACTGAAAAATGGAAATCATGGATTGCGTCGCTGCGCGGTAAAATCTAGGCCTTCCACGTTCCTTTAAGCCGGTTTAAAAACTGAAAAACTTACAGCAAGCTAGTAAGGCAACGATGACCAGGCAGAAAATACAGCCCTCCCCGTCGCATCCGCTACAATCGCAATTGCAATCACAACCTGAGCCGCAATTCGAGCAGCTGCTTGAGCCAGCTTAAATTATTCATAGTTAATTTATGAAATGAAATCTTTAACGGTATATATTCCAAAAAATGTATCTGGTTTTTTAGGAATTTTTCTAGAATTCTTTTGCACGTTTTGGAAACTCAAACTCACTCGCTTCTTTTCGAGCTTCCTCCATCGCCATAGGTGTAGGTTGAACCGTGTTCATTTTTCAGGAACAATAATAGAAAATGTAGCACCAATCAAACTTTATAATTTCAGGGATCAATGAGAATCCACTGGAACAGTCAGGTCCTCCCAAAAACCGCCCTCCGTTCAAGGCCACGCGTCCTTCCAAGAAAATCTGGGAATGTGAGATCAAATAGGGTCTAGAAAATAGTGATTGTCGTTGCCCAGCGCAAAATCTGTAAGTTGGACGCGGGGTAAGGCTTTTGGTCAGGACCGGGACCCGGCTGATCGAAAACGATAAAATGACTCATCCGGTCTAGGAAAGGGAAGAGCAGAAGTTGGGGAAATTCTCTGGGTTGACGCATCGGTTGGTGGAGATAAGGTGTGTTCGGATCTAGTGGGAGTAATTTTACAATTTAGTATCTTCCATATTTTCATCCGTAAATATTTTTGGAAAGGGTTTTACTAAAATTCACGAACAATGAATTTCATGGGTTAAAATCATTAAATCCCGGGTGCAATTGGTGCGTTATTCTTATGCATATTTCTTTCAACTTTAATGAAGAAGATCGACCCAGAGTGAGGAATTTGGAGTCGTTAAAGGTGATTCCCAGACTTCTTCCCCTATTTGTTCAGGTTGTTTGTGGAAGTGAAGCCACAGCACGCCGCACCGCACCCACCGCATTCCTTACAGCAGCCGTCGTAAAAGTCGTTACAGCACTCGCTGCAGCCCTTCCTGCAGTCGTTGCAGCAGCCTCTGCCACAATCCGGGACGCAAAAATAGCAATACGTCGCCACGGCGACGTCAAGATTGTCATCGTCGCTGGCTAAAATGTATTGTTTCCGGCTCTGGTAAGAAATGCTAAAAACGTGGCACGAAACCTCATTACACCGAGGTTTTTGAGATAGCTTTACATACCATAGTAGCTCGGGTGTTAATTGGAAAACCATTTCCCAGCAATTTCATTTTGTCGATATTACCTTTTGTCCAAAGTTTATTCATTTTGGCAACGTGTTTATTGTGCAATTTTGACTTTTCTTTCTTTCGAAATTTGGAAATGTTAAATTTCAGAGTTTTTTTGACAAATCAAATTACGAAAAATCATAATTTCGACGAAATGCAATTTCGATAAAAAGATTTTGGCAAAAACGAATTTCGAAACCTAGCTGTTCGACAAGACTAAAAAACCGTATGAATCATGTTTTCTATCATTACCCGGCTTCCTATTTTGGGCTCCATCAACCACGCCGACTCTTTTCAGTCGCCCTCTCTGCGGTTTTTCTTGTCGTTTTCCTCGAGGATCACCCATTCCTTGAGGACTCACTGCTTAACAGTGAGTGGAAATGCTTCATTAGTAGTACTCCCGGGTTCCCCAGCACGCGTTTCGTCTGGGAGACCTAGGACTATTAACGGCGCTTGAGTTGAAACGTATTGAACTTACTTTGTCGCCCTCGATCGTCCCCCATCCATTCCATTTCAATTTCGGTAGGTTGACAAACGAATGGGGCCCGCTTTGGATTCATTTGTTATGTTGACAAAATTGCAAAAGCCCTCTGAAACAGGACAAGAGGCTTCAGAGCTAAGGCATAACAACTTTATAATTTAATGACGTAGCGTTCAACCGGTTAAAAATGACTGAAAAAAGGTTAGGACTAAAAATAACGGCACGTTTGCGAAATGGTCTGCCTATGGAGGCCAGGAAAAATTTGAATCCAGAGCGCGGATCGAGCAAATACGGCAGATGACCGTCGCATTAATAATAGCCTATCACTGGACTTCAATCTAGGCACAATTAATTAATACAAGTTAATGCTAAACATGCACTTTGTAGCGTATTCGTATCCTTGGTACCCGCAATGTTTCCAAGATCGTACGAAAAAACCCGGAAAATGCCTGTATTTTTGGTGTGCTTTCAGGTTTTGGAGCTGAGTTTTGTAAATTTTTATTCACCCGGATCCAGACACCTTTCATTTGTCTGGGGCTCGATATCCAGTAGGCCCAGAAGCGTTGGAGCCCAGGTAACCGGACAGCAATGTATCATTCCGGAACAGGGTGGTAGTATCCGCAGGATAACTTTGCTGCAGGGCATGACTCGCAGCATCCGGGTCAGCCGCATACCTCGCCGAGACCCACATCCAAATCAGCCAGCCCAACACTAGGTTTACCGGGATTCCAAGGCATATAAGAAGCCAGCCCTCGCCAGATTTTGGATTCTTTCGGAGCTCCTTGACGCCGAGGAAGCAGCAGAGGCATACTGGAAAATAACAGATATTTTGTAAACCTTGAGAATGGTAGTTTCATCTAGATTTAGGATTAAAAATCAATTAAACTAGTAAAACTCACAAGTTGCGGTAAAGCAAGTTAAAACAGTTGCCACAACACCTCCCAACCAAAATCCCGGCCCCAGCTTCAGGGCCCATGCTGCCGATGGCTGATGCGGTGGCCGATCTTGCTTTAAAAACATCGTTTTCAAATAGACTTGCAAACTGACTAAAGGAAGAATAAATCGCGAGCATCGACTCATTCGACTAACTAGGTATCGACAGCTACATGTGGCGCCAAATGACGCTCAAGTACCATTTTATGGACCCTTATTGATGTCACATTAAGTCAAAAATCTGCGCGTGCATTAGTATTTTCGATAATTTTTGCGTAGCGGTCGGGATCCAACCGACCAACTCATTAAACCCAATTTAGGTGTGAAATAGATAAGGGAGCGGTTACAACGAAACTTTGAAAAGTTTTTCCAAAGATTTGAGTATTTTGTGCGTATGCTAACCAAATAAATGGAAACGGCCAGTTAAAATTTGATGCTCTGGTTATATTAAGACCAGCGGGGGAGGAGCCGCTTCGCGACTCTCCCCCCGCTGGATCCCGTCTAGGCCCTATTAATCGAGCGCCCTTCCACATAAAGTTACCTTGAAGAAAGAAAAACCCATCTTCCATGCAAACCTCTTTGACATGCGGCGCAAGCTCGAAATGCTAGTCTCGTTATTAGGCCTGCGGCGCATGTTTCATCGGCTAGCCTTGTCCTGCGGCCCAAGTTTGACGGATTAGCTTCCTTTTTTGGCCTGTGGCGCCAGCTTGAGCGGTTTGCTTCAAGATTAAGCCTGCGGCGCAATTTGAACGGTTACCTCCTTCTTTAAGCCTGCGGCGCTAGCTTCAATGGTTGGCTTTATTCCCTAGCCTGCGGCGCTAGCTTGTGCGGCTAGCTTCGTTCTGAAGCCTGCGGCGCTAGCTTGCACGGCTAGCTCTGGTCTAAAGCCTGCGGCGCAAGCTTGAGAGGGTATCTTCATCCTTTAGCCTGCGGCGCTAGCTTGTGCGGCTAGCTTTGTTCTGAAGCCTGCGGCGCTAGCTTGTGCGGCTAGCTTCGTTCTAAAGCCTGCGGCGCTAGCTTGTGCGGCTAGCTTCGTTCTGAAGCCTGCGGCGCTAGCTTGTGCGGCTAGCTTCGTTCTGCGGCGCTAGCTTGTGCGGCTAGCTTCGTTCTGAAGCCTGCGGCGCTAGCTTGTGCGGCTAGCTTCGTTCTGAAGCCTGCGGCGCTAGCTTGTGCGGCTAGCTTCGTTCTGAAGCCTGCGGCGCTAGCTTGTGCGGCTAGCTTCGTTCTGAAAGCCTGCGGCGCTAGCTTGTGCGGCCAGCTTTGTTCAGAAACTGCGGCGCTAGCTTGTGCGGGTAGCTTCGTTCTGAAGCCTGCGGCGCTAGCTTGCACGGCTAGCTTTGGTCTAAAGCCTGCGGCGCAAGCTTGAGAGGGTATCTTCATCCTTTAGTCTGCGGCGCTAGCTTGTGCGGCTAAATACATTCTAAAGCCTGCGGCGCTAGCTTGAGGGATTAGCCTGAATCTTTAGCCTGCGGCGCTAGTTTCAGTGCCTGCATTAGCCTGCGACGCAGTTTAGAGCGACTGACTTCAGAATAGCGCGTCCCTACAGGAAAATACACTTCGACACATGCATTCCGAGCCTAAAGCAAAAAAAAAATACGATAGCCGGGAATCGAACCCCCGATAGCAAGATTGGCAGGCTGACGCTCTAACCGCTATACCATGAAATGCTTGGGAGCGCGCGCGCAACACCCCTTGTATGCCCCGAGGTGACTGCCGGGAAAGGGGAGCAAAGGCAATCGGAGGCAGCTCCAATGAGGCAGCCAAACGCGCGAGTGCAACTGGTAAGAATGAGGAAATTTGTATTTTCTCGTATTATGCAAATTAGCCCTCAGGGACCCCCAAAAATGAATAAAACCGGCCTTAACTTTGTAAACTTGTATTTTATCGAAATTCTGAAAACGCCATCGGAAACAGAAGGGTCGATTCCCCCGGATGACGGAGAATTGGGGCATTTAATGCACGGGAAGGCCCTCAAATCGGGCCTCGAAAGTGACATCCACACACACACACACATACGCGACCAAATTATATAAGGTGGGATTTAACTCATTCACACGAGCAAATAAAATTAAGATTAGGGGTATTAAAACGGTATCTTCCGGCAAATATCCTCTCAACACTTACTCGGATGTTTCCTCCCTTCTTCAATGTTCATCTGCGATGGCTGGACACTCATTTTTCAGAGTAATAAAATTCGTTTAAAATGCTTTTGATATAGCCTTGAAATCAATGAAACTCCAGTGGAACACTCTGGGGATGGCTCGGTGACACGCGGGCCGTTCAAGGACACCCTAGCAGATCAAAAAAAGGGGACCCGAAAAAGAGCGACCAAGTAATACAAAACCCACCAGGCAGCAAAACATCACTATAAACAGTGGACCGGATTGGGGGATCGGCAGAAAATCGCGTAAAAAGCGTTCGAAAAACTCCGAAATTAAATAAACTTAGATGTGAGCTTGCGCTGAAAAATGCGAGTTTATATAAGTACAAAACTTTGATAGCGGCTATAAAAATACTATTAAAGCTCAATTCCGTTTTTGAAACGCAACATCTTCCTCGAAGATATCGAAGATTGCCTACAATTGGTTTCTCAATTATGCAAATGCTATTGAAATTGGCCAGCTTATGCGTCAGTTCTTTGTACACCAAAAACACTTCAAAATCTTTTTTTTCGAAAAAACTAGCCCAGAACCATTACGAGACGTCCACCTTGACTGCGCGCTAAAGCGCGACCTATAGCTCGTCCCATTTTAGGCTAGAAACCAGACCTACCGAGTCGTGATATTCTCTTTTCTCTGCCCGCTGCTAAAAAATTGGAAAAATTTTCCATTTTTTTCACGATTAAAACATTTACAGAAAATTCCCAAAAACTCAGATGACGTTCCGGTGCTCGATCTGCCGGTGTTCGAGGAAAAAGGGGGTCCCCTACATCCAGTTGACGATGGAAACGGCGCGATACAGCGGATCATCGCCGCGCTGAAGGCTCGCGGGCTGCCAATACCGCGGCGGCCGGAAAGGGGATGGGCCAAAATTTGCCGCGAACACCTGCCCGAGTACCTGGATAATATAAAAGTTTGTTTCCTAGGTATTTTCGTGTTGATTTTAAATAGTTTCTGCTGTTTTGTGCCATTTTTTTGGGGTTCGCTGTGGGGGGTGTTTCCGGGCGCCGAGGGCTGTTCCCTATTCCGCACCCAAAATACCGCGATTCGGCGGCACCCGGGCACCGAACATCTGTGTAAAGGGTAGGCCTCGGAGCCGTACCGCGCGCAAAATATTTGAAATTGTAACTTTCAAGAGATTTTTCTTTTCAAAATCTTTGAAACTTCTAAAATACCTTTGCAAATTCAATCGACCTATTAGGAGACCTATCTGCCGGATACAAATTTCACGTGACTTACTGTAGAAGTGCTAAAAATAGAATAAGATCGCTCTAAGGGATTATAAAAAATTCTGCTGTTTTTAAGGACCTTATTTTCGGACTACCTTTGTATGAACATACCCTTTCCAGGCAATGACCTCATCCGTCTTCTCCGCCTTCCGGTGAAGAAATTGCGGTGCCGATAAAGAAGTAGGACTTTGATGACTTTGAATATAATGGTATCTTTTATCTTTTTTAGAAAATCTCGAGATGAGCTCCTCTGCGAGCTATTCGACTCTTTACCGCCGAGAGGCCGGCTTGCGCTTGTCCAGATGCTCGTCCGGCTCCGGGAACCGCTACCGGCCCGGCTCCGAAAAGAGAAGATTTTGGTAAATACTTAATTTAACGAAAAAATCAAATTCTCTTAGGTCAGCAGAAATGCACCGGCCTGTCATCCCGTTGTGTTGACGCTTGACATGCTGATGCAGCCGGAAAATATTGCCAAAGGTCGGTTTCTAGGAAGTGTTTTCTGAGAACAAGATTTTTACTTTACGCTAATAACACTCATTTTCAGCCAAGCAATTCTCCGGTACGCTCGTCAGCTCCCCTGAAGATGTTTTGCGGCCAGTAAAAGCAAAACCGCCTCCGGAGCCTGTGATAGCCCCGCTGTCGCCGAAGGATGAACCCCCGCCACCCGTACTGCAGCCTCAAGCCCGATTGAAACGGAAGCACTCGCCGGAGCGTGAGTTTAGAGTTCATGGACTTCGTTATACCATTTTTTAGCTGCCGCTAGCCCTTCAAATGGCCCACTGAAAACCAGCGGATTCACTTTTCGAAAGATGACGGCCGCCACGTTAGCGTATGTTTTACTAACTAATTAAAAAAACTTTGAATTTTGTAGTTCAACGCCAAGCGGCGGTTTCGGCTCCCCATCCATTCCACGGCTCAACATCCCGCGCATCAGCGATACGCAAAATGTGCCGGTGCACTTGACGAAGAAGGGTGGTTTGAGGCCCGATCATGGGGACGTCAAGGTATGCTCTTTTACCTTTAACGAATATAATTTTTTAAGCCAAATCTATCCGCGCTGATGAAAGGCACGACGACGTCACCCGGGACTGTCAAAATACCTAATGTAAGTTTTTCTGCTTCTTCTGAAAGTTTCATGGATATAATCTTACCCAAAAACTGAGATAAAGCTTTTCTTACAGTTGATCCGCTCCCAAATGTGCTGCCAGAAGCGCGCGTGTCTGATCGGCGCCGAGAAATGTGCTGTGAAGCGGCAACGTGAACACGAGATCGATTCAAAGCTTGTCCCCTCGGCAGCGGCTGATGAAGCGTTGGCACTTTGGGGAAAGATCAGGTTGGTTGCAAAGTTTTCTATATCAGCATTTTTACGATTTTAATATAACTTTTTCTTTTAGAGACGAGTACCCGGATGATGGCGATGAGCAGGTGGACAACAGGCGGTTCGTATTATAACGTAAAATCGGCAATTTGACTTGATTTAAGCGCTAAGATCTAGAAATTTCTCTTGCGATTGAACCTCGTTTTCAGGAGCATATCCAAGTCCTAAGTAAAGCTTTGCAAAAGCAAAATGTTTGTAAAAGCTTCATCTTTTCAGCCCAGACTCCCTGTTGCACCTGATGAACATCGTCAACAAGCGCAAAAACATGATGAAGGCAAATATGGGCTACGGAAGACCGTCGACGTCACATTATAATGGCAGCAATCGAGCGAATACTGCTAGCCAAATGCCGATAAGAAAGGCGCCTTCTATGAACCACGTCTCGCCTCGGCTTTTCGACCCTCAACCTGGGCCATCTGGACACGACGGCGCTTTGGACCCGAGCGCGGCTATGGCGATTGCCGAGAGCGGGCGATGCGAGGGGTGCCATTTGGTGAGTAGTTTTCATTGAATTTGATGGCTATACTAGAGTAAAAATTGTATATTATTTTAATTTTATTCGTTTAGACGCTGCCATCTGACATTTTTGTGATGCATCTGACGCTTCTGGAGCAGGGGCTCGAGTGTCCCGAGGTGCGGAAAAACGATGCCGAAGTCAACTGCCCGTTTCCAAAAGTGAGTTTTGTTTTCTGAACTGTAAATTATCGAATTTCGTAACTTTGGTTTGAAATTTGGTGAAAGATAGCTTTATTTGGTTTTATTTAGAGAAATTATTTAATTTAATAAATTTTGAACAATTTTAGTGCCCTGCGAAAGGATTCGCTTCGATGGAAAATTACTGCACGCATCTGAAGGTGAACCACCAGAGAATGACAGCTGTTGACGAAGAGGTGTACGGCGATGAAGCGGAATGCCAGGTAGCAAAAATTTTGTATTTTGCTCGAGATCAAATAAATATGTTTTTAAATTAAATTTCGATTTTAGGATGCGATCGACGCGCTGCGCAGTGTCGGCGATTTCGACTCAGATGCCGGAATCGGGGATTCGATAGCGTATCGATGTCGGTACACTCATGATGCTGACGATAGTGGTGGGCTTCTATTAATCATTTTTTATTGATTGGAAATGTGTATAAAAATTAAGCATTGAGTTATTGAAGTCTATAATTATTTTTAGACCACGAATTCGACGATTGCGAGGTGGAGCACCCTAAGGTGCGCATCGCCTGCTCGGCCTTCTACCTCAGCCAGGTCAAGTATGACGAACATGATCAGTAAGTTTAAATGGAAATTAAAGTATTGATTGTTATTCATTATTAAATATATATTATTTACCTTTTTTAGGAGTATTATTTAACCTTTTTAGCCCGAACTACCACCTACGATACTGCGGCAACCATATCCATGGGAAGATGCGTGTCATTCGGCCGTTGCGGCAGAGAATTCGTCAGCTGGCCCGCTTCATGCCGATTCCGGTTATACAGAAAATTGTTTCAGGTATTTTAAATCTGTAAATATTTAAAAATACTGGTGTTTTTTAGCCGAAGCCCCAGACTACGCGGGCACCGGCGGACTACTCGACAAGATCCGAAATCTCTCGCCTCCGGAAATTGCGATGATTATTCAAAGCGGATATGTACGTTTTGCAACGCTTTTCATACGACCTCCATTTTTTTTAGTGCTCCGCGCCCGATTTCGACCCCAACGGTTACCGCCTTCCCAAGCTCGGGCTTTTTGAGGCGCTGATGCTGCCCGAGGGCTTCACCCCGCAAACCGTTCGCGAGGAGTGTGAGGCGTGGTCGCGCTCGAAAAACGTGAAGATTCTGCCGATATGTCCGGCCGAGCGGAAGCGGGAGGCGCAGAAAGCACACGCGCAACGTTGGTTAATTTTCGGAATTTCGAACCCTGTCTTGCGTAAAAATTGGGTGAATTCATCTTTCTATTTTTAGCGTCTGATGAAGCCACCCCACGCCAAGTGCACCCCGTCCTTCGCGGCGAATCGTCACGGCAAGAGGAGAAGGCGAAGAAGGCGCTGAATTGCATACGGATAATGGCCAAGAATATGTCGGTAAGTAATTTTTTCTGCTTGCATATAGCAGGATTAATTTTTGGCAATAATGCGATAGTTTTAAGGATTATAAAATTAAATTTGCTTCCAGGAAAGCATGCTGCTCGAGATGCCCGACGATGAGATGATCACGTTTGCGAAAACGATCGAAGTCTGCTACGCGATCACGAAATCGGTGGAAGGCGGGCCGCAGAAGAAGCCTTTGTAAGTTTTTTCGGGTGCTTTTGCATTATCGGGGGTCACCTTTTTGCTTAGTGTATAGTATAAATTAGAGCAAGTGTTTTTAAGCTGTTTTTCTATTAAAAAACTACAAATTGTGATCAAAAAATGCAAAAGCTCGAAT